CAGCGGAATCAAAGGGGATCCAGAAACAACGGCAGCTTTCTTGCCATCAAAGCTGCAGATGGCACGTATATCCTTAATGGTGACTTCACTTTATCCACTTTAGAGCAAGATATTACGTACAAAGGTGTTGTCCTGAGGTACAGTGGCTCGTCTGCAGCATTGGAAAGAATTCGCAGCTTTAGCCCTCTCAAAGAGCCCTTAACCATCCAGGTTCTCACTGTGGGCAATGCCCTTCGACCTAAAATTAAATACACCTACTTTGTGAAGAAGAAGAAGGAGTCTTTCAACGCTATCCCTACTTTTTCAGAATGGGTCATTGAAGAGTGGGGTGAATGCTCTAAGTCATGTGGATTGGGTTGGCAGAGAAGAGTGGTAGAATGCCGAGACATTAACGGGCAGCCTGCTTCAGAGTGTGCGAAGGAAGTGAAGCCAGCCAGCACCAGACCTTGTGCGGACCTGCCCTGCCCCCACTGGCAGCTGGGGGACTGGTCGCCCTGTTCCAAGACTTGTGGGAAGGGTTACAAAAAGAGAACCTTGAAGTGTCTGTCCCATGATGGGGGGGTGTTATCTCACGAGAGCTGCGATCCTTTAAAGAAACCTAAACATTACATAGACTTTTGCATGATGGCGGAATGCAGTTAAGCAGCGTCAGGTTCGAGGGTGAGGCAGAGTGAGGAAGGACCGAGGCACTGACAGCGAGGGGGCTGGAGGCATCCAGTGGATATTGCCGGTAACCCGTGAGGTGGGATGTTAAAGTGGGATTGTGGAGGTAGGTTGGAGAAGGAGTTAAATCGTCAGAGTAAACTGCCAGTGACAAATTTGGTAGGGTAGTTAATGAGGATTATTAACCTCTGAGCAGTGATATAGCATGATAAAGCCCCAGGGCAGCATTATTATTATTTCTTTTGTTACATCTATCACAAGTCTTACAAAAAACAGGAGCAATTATCGAAAAAAGTAAGAACTCTTACCACCCCGGTTTCCTGGTACTGATTAAACACTTTGTGTCATGGGGATTAAGGAAGGAAAAGTAGGAGAAAGGTGAGATTTTGTTTAAGACCTGGCTTACTAATCAAGGAGGGAGAGAAGAGTCCAAGTAGGATCTTAGACCAGCGCTCTTGAGGGCTCCTTTGGTTTCAGAGAGTGTTTTTCCATCTTTTCTACCAAGACCTAAGAGTTCAGGTTCTTCAACATGAGAGGAGGTCTTAGCAATGTGAGATGACTCAAATGGCTCAATCTTTACTTTCTTATCACCTCAGTCTTTATTTGTATAATTCGTTTGGAGGAAGAAACTATTCCATATATTGATAAAATAGGATCAAGTCTATCTACAAAGGTAAAAAAATAAAAAATAAACAGTAAAGTATCAGGTGCTGGTTAAAGCTAGAGGGGACACATTGTGCTCGGTCCTGCCAACCTTTCTTTCCTACTGTGTAAACCCACTTCGGTAATGTAGATGTGAAAAGTCTCAAAAAGGTAAAATCACACAAAAAGTTTATAATGCCAGAACAAGCATGGGGTGTGTAGCACAGGGTCCCACAGGTCTGGGGACACTGAAGTCACTTGTCTCGTGGTGAGGAGTCTGCTTAGGGCTGGCCGGTCCATCCCTGGCAGCTGGCCCAACAGTCGTATCCTGGTGAATGTCTGTTTAGCTCTTTTGTGAGAAAGAATACGACTTTCCGTATGTATATAGTAAAATATGTTACTATAAATTAATGTACTTTATAAGTATTCGTTTGTGTGTTCCTTCCAAGAAGGACTGTAGTTTGTAATAAATGCCTATAATAACATATTTATTTTTATACATTTATTTCTAATAAAACGATTAAGTTATATCGCTTTTGTAAAAGTACATATAAAAATAGAGTATTTATACAATATATGTTACTAGAAACAATAAAAGAACACTTTTTGAATGTATGTGTATATTTTTTTGTAGTGAGAATTAGTTCCTGGGAAGGAAATCTGAGACACAATTATTGATCTGAAGAGTGGATTTTCTCGTAAATTCTTTGGCAATTAGTGTTTTTTCCTAATGTTTTCTAATTAGTGTTTTTTTCACGTCCTCGGTTTATGTGATGCTAAAACAGGTCTCTGATATCCTTGGTAAAAGATACATGTAACTTTGTTATTAATACATCTAATAATTTACACCAAGGAGTCAGACTCTATCTAAAAAAAAAAAAAAAAAATACACATGCACACCAGTGATTGGCAAACTTTCTGTAAAGAACCTGGTAATAAATATTTATAACTTGTGGACCATACAGTCGTCCCCACAATTTGCAGTTCTGCTAGTGTACCGTGAAAGTAGCTATAAATAATGTGCAAATGAACAGACATGGCCATGCTCTAATAAACATTATTTACAAAAACAAGTGATAGGGTGATTTGTTAGGTGGACTTGGTTTGCCAATCTCTGATGTATAAAAAATTAAATGAAAAAGTTTGGGATTCCGGATGCTTTTTGAATATGTATCTCTTTCTCAATTAGATCATGTAAGTAAAAATGTGTGAAAATATTTAAGCTGTGAACTGGAAAATACTCATAAATTACATTTTGGAAAGACACACGGTGATCCAAACTCCCCAAATGTTTCCTTTGCTCATCAGCAATTCGTAGGTGTTTTGGAGAAAGCTTGGAAAGCCCAGACCCCGCTGGGTAGTTTTTTTATGTCACTCTATTTTAAATACGAAGGGGTACATCACTGATTAAACTTAAAAGTTCCCACTGCCTCCAAAGTAAGTACATTTCTCCCAGGAAATAGTTTCTTTACTAGAAGACTCAGATTACTGGTCAACCACTGACATGTCCAACTTTACATTTTCACCCTCAGGATAATTTTTCTCAGCATTCTGATTTCAGGTTCAGATGATAATTTCTAATTTATCTTCATAATTATTCAAAGTATTCACCCCACCCCCTGAGCAATGAACATATCTTCAGGACTTAAGTATATATGTAAAAATAGTAGGATGTGAAAAAAGGGAATCGTGTTAATCTCTGATTCTCTTTTTCTCTACCTAGTAAGTAGGTTATGGGACAGACAGATAAAAGTTAAGTTTTCTCTGTAGAAACTGGTCTTAGTTTTACAGAACTGGTTTAAACATAGAATCTTCCAATTCAATTCAATGGCCTAACTTTCCCCTTGGAATAAGCACGTCTATCACAACAATGAATTTGGCCATATCAGCATAGCCCATATTCCTACAGTAAGTGATGCGGGGATTACACACAAAAGAAATGCCCTAACCCTCACTGACTATTTGAGAAAATAAGGATACATACACCCAAAATGATAACTCAATATCAAAAAGTCATTTTTCAAATTTTGCTTCATTCATCAAAGAGGTGTTGATATTCATTTTTTTTTTCCTTTTAAGAGGCTTTAGATTGATTTCAAGTTGTAAATAATTTTTTTTTTTTTTTTTTGAGACAGAGCCTCAAGCTGTCCCCCTGGGTAGAGTGCCATGGCACCACAGCTCAGAGCAACCTCCAACTCCTGGGCTTAAGCGAGTCTCCTGCCTCCGCCCCCCAAGTAGCTGGGACCACAGGTGCCCACCACAACGCCTGGCTATTTTTTGGTTGCAGCCATCATTGTTGTTTGGCGGGCCCGGGCTGGATTTGAACCTGCCACCTTAGGTGTATGTGGCTGGCACCTTAGCCACTTGAGCCACAGGTGCCAAGTCTCAGGTTGTAAATAATTAGACTAAAGCTCAGGACACTGAGATAAAACCAGCCTAAAGATTTTCTATCATCCTCTTTATCTTCAGTCCAAGTTAATGTTAAAAAAACTCTGGCACTGCCATGTTATTTTTCAGCCCTCTGCTGGTGGGATTTTTCTTTCATCACTTTACCAAGCAGTTTAAGACACTCTCCTAGGCAGCAAAACAAGGTTGGTTCAAAACAAGCATCCTGGATCTGTGAGCTTAACTAAGCTCCTGCTTGAAAGGAGGAGGGGTTTGGTGCTCTCTCCTGTTGCTGGTGTAAATGATGAACTGGGATAACGTCAAGTGTGAATTCCAACACCTCAACTTTGAAGCACTCAAAAGCAGCTTCTTCCTTTACTATTTTAATAATCACCAAGCAGAGATAGTAACAAAAATAGTTTCCAACTCTTCCTCTCCGTTTAATCTGTCTTCTGTCTTCTAAAAGAGGCCACTGCACAGCTTAATGTGAATTAGGAACAGTAGACAACAGCCTTAATTTTTTAACTTCATTGATTTCCAAAAGAAAAAAATATTAGTATTAGGTTTTTGGGTACTCAGTCTATCAAAGAAATTCGCCAAAGCTATCCCAGTAGAGAAGTGTAGTCTATTCTGACATACACATATTTGGGGGACATGAAAAGCTCATACGACATTGGTAGAAAGCAGAATGATGTTGGCAAACATGGTAGATGTTCTGGCTCTCAGCAAGTAAATGTTTTCCATCTTAGGAGCCACAGGACATAGAATATACAAGCCCCAGAGAAATATTGAATCATACACTATGCTCACTTACCCCTCTTATCTCCATCAGTAATTGGCAATAAACAGTCTTAAAAGTTCCCAGTAAGGCTTTTGTTCAATGACCTCTTAACACATAATTCAGAAACCTAAATTTTCTTTACAGCTCTTTCTGAGTAATATTGCCTTTATTTGAGGATGTTTCTATAGTAACAATTATTTCTTTGGAACTTACCATGTTTTGTTGGCTAGTGTATTTATTTTTGTTTTTAGTATTACTATTGTTTTATGTTTTGCAGTATTTAAGAGAAGGTATAAGAGTGGAGAGTAATCCAGGAAGATTTATTAAATAAAGAAACCACAGAGATGCGAAGAAATAGTTGTCAGAGTAATGAGATTACAATATAGGGGTGACCACCTCAGGTTGTAGGAGTTTTTAGAGGGGACAGCAAGAGGTCAGTGTGGCTAGAGTGACAAGACTAGTCAGACCATGGAGGAAGTGTGTTTGGGTTTTATCTGAGTAAGACGGTGAGCTAAGGAAGGACTTGAGCAGAAGAGAGAAGTGGCTGAACGTAATATTTTAATCAGGGGCCATTAGAGAAGGGGACAAAATAGGAGACTATTACCTAATTGCAATGAATGGGAATGATGGGCTGAATTAAGCCAATATCCCTGCAGGTCAAATCCTGCTGTTCAAAAGAATGAGATTTGCAGCAGATGAACGTAGATATTAAAGGAAGAAAACACATCATAAATGAATCCAAAGTGGGTTGGGTTTTGCTCTTCTGTTTTCAATGATTTTTTGGGGGGATGGGGTAGAAAGATTATCTACACAACATACACATGTGCTATGATTTTAGACACCACCAGAAATTAAAACTATAAGAGTTTTAGTATCAAAAGCAGTTAAATGGATAGCTAAATATAAATAATTATTGAAAATAGAGTTTTAAAATTAACTGGAAATAAAAAGAAAGCAGTTAAAAATTATATATAATGTAAAATATATCTTTAGGATGTGCTTAACAAAAAAAATCTGATGACCTGGTAAGTAAAAGAATTATCTAAATCAAACTGACATTTTTTTTTCAAAGATATAAAAAGTATTTGTCAGGCAAACACAGAGAAAATAAGAATAGAATATGATTTTAGCCAAATTATATTTAAGGTAAAGAAACACTAAAGAAAATAAAGAAGAAAAATCTTTGTAGATTATAAGGACAACTCACAATAAAATTTAGGTCTCAGATAATAGAACATTTATATATAAATTTAAAACCTTAAAAAATACAAAGGATAATCAATAGGAAAATAGTATTTGTCTTTCTCTAACAGCTCTCTCTAGTTAAGGAAAAACCAAATATGTAAGAAAACATATAAAGCTTCTAAAAACTTAAAAGAAGATGTAAATAATCCAAGACTCATATAAATTTCTTTGAGTTTGACTTCAAATTATAAACTTTTCATTTTGTCCTAAATTAAGAAGTAGATTTAATAAAATTCTCATTATCAACTAATGAGCTGTAAATTTTTGGAGCTTGAGCTCATGATTCTAAAATTCATTTGGAGAAATAAATTTAGTGACCACAGAGAGAAACATAACTGGAAAGCAGAGAGTAATATAAGAGACTTTCCGATCCAATTAACCATAAAATTACAATTAAAGAAAAGATGTTACTTGCAGAATTATTGGCAAACATATCAGTGGATGAGAAAAATAACCCAGAAACAAATTTTAGGAGCCTTAACCACAAAACATCGGTATATGATGAAGTTGGAAAAGCAAATCTGTGAACAAAAGAAGACTCATTCTAAACATAGCCCTGAAAAAAGAAATGTATTTGTCTGTTTGAAAAAAATAAATGTAAAGCTTCTTTCAAACCCTTAATCAACTTAAATTTCAGATCTATAAGTGGTTAAAACCACTTTAACCCTGAACATTAATCAGGGTTCTCCAGAGAAACACAACCAATAAGAGAGCTACATATACATTTATATCTATAACGTGTATCTGTAGATCTATTCATATAGGTAGATGCAAAGAGCTTTATTATAAGGTATTATCGCCTCATATAGTGCTGGAGGCTAGAAATCCACAATCTGTAGCTCACAAGCTTCAAACCCAGGAGAAAAAACAGTATAGTTTCAGATTGAGTTCAAGTCCCATCTCTAAGATAAGAGGAAGGAACACGAAGTTCGCCCTTAATCAGACTTTTTGTTCTAAACTGATGCTCAACAGACTGGATGAGGCCCACCAAATTGGGGAAGGTAATCAGCTTTACTTGGTCTACAATGCAAATGCTATTTTCATCTAGCAGCATCCTGAGAGGAACGTGGAGAATGGAGTTTAACCACATATCTGGGCACTCAGTGGCTCAGTCAAGTTAACACATTAAAATTGACAATTACAAAACTTTAAGAAGCAATAACGAATACAGAGAAACATTTATCTGATCTCTGGAT